CAATTTTTTTTGTCGGAATTTTTTTTCGATGCTCATTTTACCGGAGAAAAATATTTCGCCGAAAAACTTTTAAATCTGAGGGAAAATGAATAATTTTCAGCTGAAAAATCTATCGGTAATACATGATTTTTCTGTAGTGATAGATATCAATATACTTTTTAAAATATTAAATAATTAATTTAATTAAAAATTAATAACTTGTAAATAATGAATAAAGTATTAACCGAGTAAGATATTTTGGGTTTTAGTGTTTACTTATTTTCAAAATTCATACTTATATCTTTAAAGCCACATAACAAAGATTCCTGATACATCATAAAACACTTACCATTTGAGGTTCACTTACATCACTTAACTTTACAATTCATCATGGTTCAAAAAATTATTAACATTAAAATCAAAATATTACTTATACTTGATTCATTAAATTAATATTATGTACAATGCATGGATATAATGTGCATATCCCAATGTTTACTTATAACTTTACTTTCATTTATGCCTCACTTTAATCTCCCATACCGGCTTATAGCAAGTGTGGGCATAATCAAAATAAAATAGTGCAATATAACCTTCGACACTTGCTTTCAATAAGTGGGGCCAGAATCCCTCCAACATCCACACGAGAAAGATAGGCCAGAAAAAAAACATATATTGACCTTGTAATAATTCAAGAAGTGCAATTTTCACATATCAGAATTTCTCCAATTCCATACTATGAATAGTATAGTGTATATTTAATAATAACCAATTTATAATTTAAATTTAGTGCTTATATGATGCATGAATTGCTAGTAAAAGCCACATTACTTGTATGAAAATATACTCATTCAATTTTTCCCATTTAAATTTGAACTTCATGGGGATATTCGTATGAATATTTTAAGACTTTTAAAAAACTATTGTAATTTTTAGAAAAGCCTCAATCAACTTATATACTAAAAAATTTGCATAGGAAAACTAACTGGTGAAAATCTAATTTCTTATTGTTAAAATATTCATAATTGAGTGTACAACATTATACCAAAAGTTATATGAAAAAATATAATAAAACATAAGAAAAAAAGATTTTTACTCATAACTATTTATAAAACCATTAGAATTGAAAAAAAAAAAAAAAAATAGGAGTTCATAAGTCTACCTTATGCTCTACAAATGCCCAACTGAAATATCTCTCTTCCTTTCTCTCCAACCTTATCTTCCCCTTATCCTCCTCTCTTCTCCAACAATGGATTGGTGAGGGTTTTTCACAAATGAATTTAGATATTTTGATATTTAAAAACCACTAATTTAACTTGGTGCTAGCCTTCCCAATTCCAATACACCTAGCAAAATATTCCAAATTCTCCTAGAATCTTCTAATTTGAGAGATAGATATAGCAATGACACATCCTTGAACAGTAATTCCTCTCTTTATTCCTTTTCCAAGTAGAGAATAAGGTTCCATGGTGCTCCCTAAGAAATTTTGATAACTTATATTTTCTCTTTCTCAATCACTCTAAAGTTAATCGAAGCTTACTTAAGAATTTATTGGACAGTATAGGAGTCATAATTACCTATTTCAATTAAAATTAAATGAAAAATAACTAAAATAACATTAGTTACTAAGGATTTATGGATGTTACACACACCCAAGAGCTCTTACTCCATCAAAACTAAGGAAATAAGGACATGGAAAAAGAAAAATAACCTTTGTGCAACCTAATCTCTTGAAAACCTTTCATTAAATCTCTTAAAATCACTCCTATTTCTCAAACCTTCTCTCCCTCACATAGTGGAATGAGTCTCTCCAAAGGCTCTCTCTCAACTCTCTTGTTCTCCCCCAAGAAAGCTTGAGATGACCAAACACTTCCTATTAAACTACTCAAAAGAATTATTTATATTAAGCTCATAATTAAACCCTAAAAGTCACAATATGGTTAATTTTGTGGGAGGATGGCACAGTATGATCTGAACAAGGTTGCCAACTTATGGGACTAGATCATCCTATTCGAATGAGGTTGATCTGAACAAGCACTCCATTTGTTCATACTATATGATGGGGATCATCCAATACGATCTTTATGAGGATGGTGACTCAGATCATTGGATTAACCAATTCGAATGGAGTTCGACTAGACATGCTCTTTATTTTTTTTGGTTTGTATGATTGGGATCATACAATATGAAATTAACTTTAATCTGTCCCCATTATTTTAGGTTCCAAAAAAGGTAATTCATAATACGGTAATTCAATTTTTATACTACACAGTAGTTTTGCAATACAAATTGCTCAAATTTTTTAATTCACCTATCTTAATTTTTTTTGGATTTTTTAATGGTTTGAATTTGAATAGTTTATTAGCTAGTATGATTTGCATCATACTATATGATTTATTATGCAAATTTTTAAATTTAACTTTTAGTTAATTAATCTCACTTGATTTTTGGAATTTATAAAATTGTCATTCAAATCATAAAGTATGAAGTAAATCATAAAGTATGATTAAATCAAAAATTAAATGCTTTAATTAAATCTATTTAATTTTATATCACCCCTTGTGTGTGCATGATTGTTCAATCCTTTTTATGCCTAAAATATAGAAAGGCTCAAGAAAAATAAAAATTACAATTTATAAGTTGACATACTCTCATGATTCTTGGTCTTCTTGATGCTGATGTTCGTGTTTAGTTCCTTAGGCTTCAACAAGTTTAAGTTTTGAATCTATTGTGTGTGCTTCCTAGAGTGTTAGATTATAAACAATTTTCCTACACACATAGCTTGATTATAATATAACCAATAATATTTGTAATAATCAAAACCCTAGTGTACACCAAGCTCATGTGGTTCAAAATAATGATGCTCTTCATCTTCTTTGTTTGTAACATCGTTGTCTAGCTTTGGTTTTCAACAGTATTCTAACTTATCAAATGGATCATTCAAAACTATTTAGGACCATTAAGAAATCTTCATCAAAAGTTTTTTTGGTGCCCATTGATAAGAAAACATACTAATAAGATAAAATCATTATTTTGTTTGCCTTTGATTATGTTATTTTGTGTTTGTAATCCTTTTGCTTTGTGCAAAAAATTATATACATATAAAAAATTAAACCAAAGCTACAACAACTAAAAAGCAACGCTATAACACAAGAACTCAATCTAGTGTCGCAACTCCATAACTTCAACACCAAAGTAGAGAACTTATCAATATATACTTAAGAGATTAACACCGAGGTGCTATCGAGTTAGCACTGTAGTGCCAGATTGAGGCATCATAGTGCCAAAATTTCTAGTGCCATAGTGGGAGTTAGTTGTGTTAGTGAGTCAAAGAAACTATTGTTAAATTTAAACATTGATTCAAGAACATTGCAGTACCACCAAGCTAGCACCACAACACTAGGTTTGAAGAAAATAAAAGCTATAAATAGTCTCCTTATTCATCATGCAGGGAGGCTGGCAACTTAGAGGGGTTAGTTCGTAGTGTCATTTGTGAGTGTGTGTGAATGTGTTTATGTTGAATAGGGGAGTGTGTAGCTTGCATTTCTTATACCTGAGTCATGTAATGGAGTGTAGCAAAGAAAAGGATTGACCAATGGATTGTAGATAATTTTGGGTCATTTTTGAACTCTACTTTCTCTTATTATAATTGATATTTAGTGTTTGTACTTATGAACCAATTTAAATAATAAAATATTTTTTATGTTTTTTTTTATTATGTGAATTAACACCTCCATATGTAGCTATTCAAATTATCTGAATATATGATGAATTGAAAGGCATGCATTTCTTAGAATAGGATTTAAATTTTATTTAATTCATGCTATTTTTTAACTTCTACACACCTCAATTTGCTTACATATAATTCATACATAAATTAAAATAAAAGTGTGATTTAGAGCATCAATGGAGGAATAAAAGAGCAACCAAATATAGTCAAGCCATAACATAGTTAATTATACTTTATGAGGATCCCAGGTTATGCTCTGACAAGCTTGACAGAGATGAGGATCATAATTATTCTGCAATCATGTACTTTTGATGATTCATAGGTTTAGATTTTATAAACATTAACAAAACTTTGATTTTGCATTTTGAAGTTTTTAACATTAAAATTACAAACCCTTATTATTAGCTTAGGAGATAAACTTAACGTCAAAGTAAGCAGTAGTAAAGTGAGTATATAATACTTCTTATTATTTCCTTGTGGGATAGACACCCTATTCATCATTATATCACTTGATAAGATAATGTGCAGCTTGACATATGATTATAGAATATAAATATAAGTAAATCAGTGTGCGTGGAAACACAGCACATGCACATTACATTTTTGACATTTTTAATGGGGAACATAAATCTTGTGAAATTATTTTCATACTTTTCGTTTAATATTAATGAAACATTTATTAGCTTAATTTATTTGTCTTTCTTGACTTTATCAATTTAAATTTTCACCTGCTTAGAATTCCTTTGATATCTAATTGGCGATTGCTGCGTAGTGTTTTACATTTTATTATGTTGCTTAGTGTTGAATGTGTCGTATTAAACAACCAATAGAATTTTTTTTTGATACTAAAATTAAAAAAAATTAAGAAAAATTATAAAATTTAAAAAACAATTTATAATGGTTGAATAAATACCTAAAAATGAGCAATCTAGATCGCTTAGGGAGTACACAAACTTTATGGTTGAGGGTATTCATCAAAGTAAAAATTGACCAAACATACAAGCAAATAATTTTGAACTGAAACCTTCCATTATCCAAATGGTGTAAAACTCTCAATTTTGAGGAACACGTTTAAATGAACCATATTTACACATGGTTAGTTTCTTAGAAATCTATGCAACCTTTAAATATAATGATGTTAGTGATATTACTGTTAAACTTAAGTTGTTCCCATTTTCCCTTAAGAAAAAGCTAATGTGGCCTAATTTTTTACCATTGGGCTCAATAACAACTTTGAATGAGGTAGCACATATGATTTTAGCCTTATTTTTTCCACCATAAAAAAGTTGTTAAACTTAGAAATGATGTTACTTATTTTGCCCAATTAAATGTTGGATCTATTTATGAAACATGGGAAAGATTTAAGGAACTTCTTAGAAAATGTCCTCATTATGCCCTTTCTTATTATTAAGTCATCCAAACTTTTTTTTAATGGCCTAATAGGTTCCCTTATATTAATTATTGATGACATTGGTGGTAGTTCTCTAATGGCAATGCCCATTGATGAGGCTTATGCTCTAATTGAGTAGGTTTTTTCCAATAATTTCTAATGGACCTTTAAAAGAATAAATCATAAAAAAGTGGCTAGCATTTATGAAACCAATGCCATATCGATATTAACTACCCACGTACCCACTCTAGAAAATTAGATATCATTGGAATTAATTCACATCAGAATTCATGTATAATTTTGGAAGAAATTATTTATGGAGTTTCTAATAATCCTAATACATGAGAAATATAATCAATTATTATAATAAATAAATAATCTAATAATCCCTACTCTAACACTTATAATCCTCGATAGATAAATCATCCAAATTTTTAGTTGGAATAATAATAAAAATAATCATACTTATTAGAACTCTCACCAACCAAATCAAGAAGGTAACTAGAACCAACCACCTCAAAATTTATCTAACCTTGAGCCTAATTATCCTCCAAGATTTAATTCAAATATCCAACCTAATGATAAGAATCCTTCACTATAAGAATTTGTTTTATAAAGGGGTACACCCTTGTAATGTCAAGTTATTTCCTTATGAATATTGAAAGTCAATTAATAAAGTTAGCTAGATCTAATAGAACCCATGGAACTTTACATAGTAACACTAAAATAAATCAAAAAGAAAATGATAAAAAATAATGCAAAGTAATTTAATTGTGTGGGAAAGATCTTGAAAATGTAACTAAAATAAATATCAAATTGAGGCAGAATTAATTGTAGAAGACCCCCAATCTAAGTAACTAGCTCAACTTGGTAAAAAGGATAAACTTGTTAGAGAGGTAGTACCAAGGTCACCACCACAATTTCTGCAAAAATTGTTAAAACAAAATTTTAATAAGTAGTTTTTATGCGTTTTGAAAATCTTTAAAAGTTAACTATTAATATTCCATTTGCCAAAGCCTTAAACAAATTCCCACTTATGCTAAGTTCATGAAATATATCCTTGATAAGAAAATAAGATTAGGATATTTTAAGACTTTTGATTTTGCTGATGAATGTAGCTCAATTCTACAACAAAAACTTCCTCAAATGCTTAAGGACCCTAGCAACTTTACCATTCATATGGCTATAGGAAAAATAATTTATAGTAGAATACTATATGATTTAGGAGTTTCCATCAATTTAATTCCCTTATCCATATTTAAAATACTTGATTTAGGAGAAGTCCAATCTACTACTATTACCCTTCAATTAGTAGATCATTCATCTACTTATCCTAAGGTGTAATAGAGGATGTGCTTGTGAAGGTAGATAGTTTTATCTTTAATGTAGATTTTATTATGTTAGATATGGAAGAATATAGAAAGATACCAGTTATCTTTGATAAAACTTTGTTAGATACTAATAGGGCTATGATATATGTGCAAAAAGGTGAGCTGACTATTAGAGTGAAAGAATAGAAAGTGACCTTTAACTTATCAAAGACAATGAAATTTACTAGTGACCAAAATGAGGATTATCATAGAGTTGAATTAGGTGATAATTGTGTAAGAGATTGTGTAAAGTATTTGTTGTTGGATAGTTCTTTAGACAATCCTTTATGTGAGGATGATATTGGAGAGTGAGGTAGAAATTTGGTTCAAATGCTTTATGACACCCTTTGAAATTTTAGATATAGGTTTGAAGTGCTTGATACCTCATCCTTAGGAAAGGCGTTGAAATAATCTATTGTTGAGGCACTAATGTTAGAGTTAAAAGCATTACCTGCTCATTTGAAGTTTTCCCTTTTAATTAGGAGAACAGTGAACCTTAAATATTATCATATCTACTAAATTAGGAAAAGACTAAGAGGGTAAGTTGATTAGGGTTCCTAGCGAGTATAAGAATGCTCTTGGTTGGACCATAACTAATATGAAGGGACTAAGTGTGACGCCCCAAGCATCCATAGTGAAAGGATTCGTCGACAGTCTTGATCAATCTCCATTCCTGCTCCCTTGCTCGGACCTGAAATTATTAACCACATATAATGAGATTCAAAAAGCCCAGCAAGTCACCAAAAACCTACAACTGAAATCAAAGTACGATACTGGAAATAATATGCATGTCAGTCAATCAAATCCATAACAGTCTATTACACATGATCAATGAATCTATGCAAATATGGAAATCAAATCAGTAGTCAATGCAGCAGTAGAAGAATCAATAAACAGTAGGAAAAACTCCATCAAGCTCGCTCAATACACTTCAAATCTCAGAAGAATCCGTAAACAGTAGAAAATCAGTCGATCAGTCAAATCAATCGTATCAAATCGAATCAATCAAAACAATACTATCTGGTCAATTAAATTGATCGGTATGAAATCATAAAATCAATACAATAAAGCCCAGTCTATACTAGCAATGAATCAAATGCAGCAGTTCAATACA